GCTGTGGCTCAAGTGGTAGAGCGCTAGCCTTGAGCTGAAGAGCTGAGGGACAGCGCCCAGGCCCAGAGTTCGGGCCCCACCAAAGTGCTGACATTTCCCCAGAGCAGTTGGATGGCCACAATCAAGGACAGAAAATGGTTTCTGCTAAACCCACTCACCTCTGCGTAATCTGCCACGAGGTAAAGCTCCACATACTTCATTGAGTGCAAATTGTCTCTTTTCATCTAAAGAAAGACAGAAGCAGATCAGAGCTGTAGAGATGGTAGACTTGGCCTCAGTGAAAGAAACCAAACAATCACAAAAAGCCTGCTGAGAAATGCAGTCGGTAGTTAGGAAGAGGTGGAATTTAGGCCTCCAAAGGGGGAAAACACACTGACAGCCAAGTTCCCAAATAAACCTTAGACCACGTGACTTCTGTGCACAGGATGAAAGTGGCTATTGCAAATTTCCTAAATTGTTTTCACCTTCTATAGTTTTTTGTTTGATTTTTCTTGTTGGTTGTGGGGCTTGAATTCAGGGCCTGGGAACCATCCCTGAGCTCTTTTGCTCAAGACTAGCACTCTACCACTTTGAGTCACAGCACCACTTCTGGTTTTTGAGTGGTTAATTGGAGATAAGAGTCTCATGGGGACTTTTCTGCCCGGGGTGGCTTTGGACTGCAATCATCAGATCTCAATATCAGCTTCCGGAGTAACTAAGTTTACAGATGTAGGCCATCAGTGCCCAATACCTTCGATAGTTCTTTTTCCCCTCATCTTTTATAGTTTCTGAATTCAACATCTTTTTTTTTTTGCTGGTCCTGGGGCTTGAACTCTTGGCCTGGGCACTGTCTTTGAGCTCCTTTTACTCAAGGCTAGCTCTCTACCACTTTGAGCCACAGCATCACATCTGCATTTTTCTGTGATTAATTAGAGATAAAGAGTCTCATGGACTTTTCTGCCCAGGCTGGCTTTGAACCATGATCCTCAGATACCAGCTTCCCAAGTAGCTAGGATTACAGGTCTGAGCCACTGGAGCCAACATCTATTTTAAATGTAGTGTTTCTCTCCCAAACAGTTATTCTCTTATGAGGTTATCTCACAGTCAGCAGAGATTTTAGAATAAAAGGAGCAGGCTTTTCCCTCCCTTGGTTTGGAAATACTCCTCGATTCAAAGTAAGGGTACTCAGAGGGGAGAAGCCAGCCTGACTGTTACACAGAGGGATTTGGAACTCACCCTGCGAGGTTGTTTCTTGGTCTGTTGTGTAAACTGAAGAGCCCAGTTCCCAGCAGTGGGCCTAGAGTGCTCAAACCCACAGTTGCCAGTGGGCAGCTTGAGATGTTCAGATCTATAAATAAGGTGTTGTCCCTGGCTGTCAGGGAGGGGCTCGATGATGTAGCTGAGGTTACTTCTCACCATAATCAGTCCTCTGTTGGTAGAAGAAATAGAATCTCTTGTCAAAGATAGTGAGATGGAAAAGTCCCTCATAGAGGACCATACGCAAAACGGCATGGATGGTTTGATCACACCCGCCCCCCCCCAACTCCCCACATACAATGTGGCCCAGTACCCCACCACCACAGTCAGATGAAAATTCAACATCTCCTCCCTTTCTAGAAACACACAAATATGGAGTTAGAGCCCCCAGCCTCAGGGCACTTGGCCCCCTAAATCCATTACATCTGAACTTTGGATAACAAGATACAAATCTAACTATGACTCAAGAGAAATGAAAATTACTTTTTTGCCATAGCAAGGGAATGGGATCAAGGCTATGGAGAGGATGAAGGCCAGGATGACCTCCCCAGCATCCTGGTAGCATTTCATGTGCTCCAAAACCCACTCAGGCTCTTGCCTCACAGCCAGTTTTGAAGTTACAGCATCCCCAGCTCAGGGACTCTGCCACTGTTCATTGGTAGTCATGTTCTCTTAGTCTGTTTTGACCCCACCCCACAGCTGTTCCCCACTCCCTCCCGGGTGTCAACCCCAGGTTTTGTCCTTTGGGAAGAGCCTACAAAGCTCTCAGGAAAGACATCTCTGGTTGGTGACTAGCTGAAGCCCTGCCCAGATCCATCCCTGGCTGACCTGGTCCCTGTGCCAGGGAGCCTGCCAACATCCCAACTGATAATACAGGCATCCTCTTAGGTCAACACGGGAAAGGGCAGAGGCGAGAGCAAGCTATCCCAAACTATGGCCTCCCACCTCCCCCCCCCCCAGCCTCCCTCCCCTCCCTGCTGACCAATGCCTCACCCTCCACCTCAGTTCACCCTCACCGCCACAATGCTGGCACCACAGGAGGGCTGAACCACAAAGCAACTGGTGATCCTGTGAGTGCTGGGGTGTGGCTGTAATCATTATTGAACCCAGTGAGTGGAAAGTTCCACACTGGAACTGGTGCAAATTCACATGTTAGCCAATTATCATGTGAATAAACCTCTGGACCAAGCAAGACAGAGACCACGCCCAAATGGGAAGCATGATGGACAAGAATCATCACAGTAGAGCCTTTGCTGCGGGCCAGGCTCTAAAACATCTTTTCATTATTTACACCAAACATCTCTGATCCTCACAAGCGAGATCCCTGGGGGACCAGTGGGAATGCAAAGGCTCAGCAAGGCTCATTAATTAACCCAAAGCCACACAAGTAGTAAAAATAAGTGCTGGAGCATTCTGGATCCAGAATCTTCACTTTGACCTTACCCAGACCATCACAAATGTCCTACTGAGGGGATCAGAAAGGTATCCCCCAGTTTGCACAGAGCCTCGGATGACAGAGCCAGTCATTCTGTGACCCAACTGGCTTATCTACAGTGGGACTCCAGGACTCAGGGAGTGTACTTTCAAAGTACATATAATTAAACTCCTGGGAAATTAACACATAAAGTATGAAGCAATCATTAAAATAATTTGATATATGTACACATAATAGAGATATAATGCCATGTTAGAAAAATGTACAGAAACTCTGTATAGGATGATTATGTTAAAGGGTATGTATATTAAAATGTAATGCTAAAATGATTACATGATGGCAATTTTCAGTAAGCATCATCTTTAAAAAATAAGTAACTTTCTAAAGAAATATGCTTCCTACTAAGAACAAACTGCGGGCACAAACACTGACACACATAGACAAACACACACAGTTTTCCAGGGTCCTCAGACTTAGGCAGAGACCACAACCAATACTGGCTGGATTTCTTCACAAATGGTAACTACTCCTCACATTAATACTGTGTGTTAGTGAGGTTGGAGGTGTGGCTCAGGCGGTAAAGCACCAGCCAATAAGTGGAAGTTTCACATGCCAACTTTGAGTCCCCGTCTCAAAAAGAAGAAAAAAGATGTATGCATGCAGGAAGTTAGGGTAACATTTACATGTGGCTCCTTAATCGGAGACGGGGTTGGGGATGCAGCTATTTGACATCCGCAATGAAATGGTGGCTTACTTCTTTGGAGTCTACAAGTACCCCTAACTACTAACTCAGCCCTGTTTCTCAAAGGTGTGAGGGACCCAAATAATGTGACAAAGGATTATATCACATATGTGCATTTCTTTTTTGCAAGTATTTCCAAGTGAGTACACACTTGTGCACTCTTTGGGACTATTTTACGATTATGGGGTATCACTTCTTCAACTTTACAGTCACCCACAGAGTTGTCTTACATAAGGGGTGCAGACATTAGCTGGAGGCCCCGTTGAGGACCTCCGTCCCTCAGTCAGCCTGCATGCAGATTCCTCTCTGCGGAAGTCCTACCCACTTCCCAGGAGAGCTCGGTCGCCATGGTGACATCCCAAGGCAGCGCGGCCTGGAGGGCTCTGGGAGGTGGCTTGGGTCTGCGCTCTGCTGCTGGGGCAGCTGCTCCTCCTCTCGTACTCAGATGGACACATCAGTCATCTGCAACCCTGGTTTCTTCAGGTGTGGAGGGAGCAAACCGGGTTCCCCCCCACACCCCCCAAAAAGAAAGCCGGAAGCATACAAACCAGAAACACATGGGCAGCTGGCTACTTCTGCACAGCTGCTGGAGTGATTCACGAGAGGGCCGGCCAAGTTCCCACCATTCCAGGCAGAGGGGAGGGGGTAAGGGGGGGAGGGTAAGAAGTGGGTCACACCTGCACGAGTCTGGTCCCCTTCTAGGGAAGGACTTTGTTTACTCCCAGACTGCAGCTGGGAATGGCCCGGGTCTTGTAAACACCACACACCGTGGCCAGTTGGCTCGGCTCCACCAGATGGCTTGAGGAGGGGATTGGAGACTATGGCCTCCCCCAGGCAAAACCTATTTCCTGCCTGATTCCCACAGGAGACGCACCGCACCGCCTGACTGAGGAGCCGGGGTCCAATTCATACACACACACTGGGGACCAGCCGGAAGAGGGGCCCTGGATTTGGATGGGAATCCGGCAAACTCTTGGCAGGGTTTTGCTGCTGCAAGATGAGGTGAAGCCCACATGTCTGTGCGATGTAGCCACGCACTTGAGTTGTGTCCCCTTGCCTGGCCTTCGTGCTTATGTGACAGATGAGGAAACCGAAGGCTCAAAGCCCAACAGCTGTTGTGCTCACTGCCCACAGCAGGCACTCAATAATAACTTGCCGAATGAAAGTAGCAATTACCGCTGAATGATCGAAGGATATACAGAATTCCGCTCCTCCCAGTACCACGCATGCTGACCGCACTTGTCCACATTTTTCCTCGTCCCCCATTCCAGTTCTTCCCAGCCCCGATGTTTTCCCCTCATGGCGGAGGGAATCACCCCCTCCGTTTTTACTAAACACTACGATCACCCACATTTTAAGACAATCAATCCATGGGAAAGCGGAGTCCAAGCCCAGAAAATGTGTGGGTTACCTAGGATTTCCCCAGTGGGTCTCAGCTGCCTGTACCCACTCCAGTGACCCTTGGTCTTGGGCTAGCTCTGCTTGCCTTGTGAACCCCATTTCTCAGGAGAGCTCCCCTGTAGTTTCGGGGTCTCTTACCGTATGCCCCGGCAGGTGCTGAGCGTGACGCTCGAGTCTCCTGCATGCCTCACCGTGCCGTGGTAAAAGCAATGATTCTGGAAAAGGAAGAGAAAGAAGGGTTCAGGGCACACAGCACTAGTCAGCAGCTTGAGATTAAAGTCATGACCGTGACAGACAACTGATCGTCAGATCCTCTCCACCCTAACCTCGTACCACTGCAGCCCACACGTCAAAAAGCCTTTGAAGCCAGGCACCTGTAGCTCATGCCTGTAATCCTAGCTAATCAGGAGGCTGAGATCTGAGGATCATGGTTCAAAGCCAGTCCTGGCAGGAAAGTCCTTGAGACTCTCATCTCCAGTGAACCACCAGAAAACCAGAAGTGGCGCTGTGGCATAAAGTGGTAGAGCCCTAGCTTTGAGCTGAAGAGGTCAGAGACAGAGGCCAGGCCCTGAGTTCAAGCCTCATGACACACACACACACACACACACACACACACACACACACACACACACACACACACACACACACACACACACATCCTTTGAAGCTACCAGCTACCATCTTGGTTTGATTCTCATTGAAATCTGGGAAGAAGGGCCGGCAGCTATCACTCTGTCCCCTGATCCGATGAAGTTCAGGGGTAAGGACTTTTCCAAAGATCTCCCCGCTTTGTAGGGTTGCCCAGGATTTTCACATCTGGCCATACGGGTTCACAGGAGTTCCTAAACCCAGTGTCTCACATCCTTAGGAGAAGAGGAAATGTCACAAAGAAGACACACAGAAAGAGAAGCAGCTAAGGGGCACGTGGAGACCACCAGCCGAGGGACACTCAGGAGCCCCTGGAAGCTGTGAGCGGCGGCCCAGTTTGGAAGGGACGCAGCCCTGCCTTGCGGCACCTGGGTTTTGAACTTTCAACCTGCAGAATTGTGAGCAAAGAATGCACCTCCCACCACCAAAGCCATGCCTGGTTCATACTTGCGTTGGCTCCTGATTCTCCGGTCCCTGATGCCCTTTTCTAGCCCTCCTGCCTGTGGCCATCTGGTCCCCCAAACCCAGCTAGATTCCCCCCTCATTGTTCATGGCTGCTGTGTATTACCATGCAACCCCAGAGCAGGGCCCCAGAGGTCTCATAATGGACAGACAGAGACACAGCTGCCGTCTTCAGGGGTTGATGGTCTTGTGGGAGCCAGTCCTCACTTAGAAAGCCAAAGATCGTTTCACACAACGTTCATGGTGCTGACAGAGCGAGTCACACGTTGGAGAACCAGCTCAGAGCCTGGCTCCGCAGCCAACGGGTTGCCTAGCAAGCACGAAGCCCTGAGTTCTACACCCCTGTGCGGCCCAAAATAACGACCGCAGGACACAGGTAGGGGGCCTATAGCAGCATCTACCAGGCAGACACGACTGCTGGGCCCGACAAAGCGAATGCAGAAGGGGTCACAGGTGACCCATTCCTGTACGCCTCTTCCCCAATGGGAGGAGACGATCTGGCTGGAGCAGAAGCAAAACCCCCGGGTACAGGTTCTGAAAGGGTCTAAAGACATGGGAGCCTTCTCTTGTTCTAACACTCTGAGCTTCAGTAAAGCCCATCTTTAAATGTTCAGGGTCTCCAGGCCCATCTCCCATCCAGCTCTGAGCCTGAGTCCAACCTGCTAATCCAACGGAACATTTTTACGTAGATTGTCATGCAGGCGCCATCCCTGCCTGACCAGCTACACAAAACCAACCTGTCTGGTCCTCCCCATCTTTGGCCCCGACCTCGTTGAGTGAGGAGAGTGCTGTAAACAAGGCAGCTAGCTTTATAGTGCACACACAACCGCAGAGTAGCTGGCTCGGAGCAGCGGGCCGTATTAGTGGCCGTCTTCTTGCTACATTTTTCTTCATTAGGGATGGAACTCGGCCTCAAGAGACTTGGAAGTCCACCAGAGAGCTGAGCCAGGACATCCGCTGGGTCAATCCTCCATCCTGTGCAGGTGAGCCAGGCAGCCAGATCGCGATTCAGGCCAAGTCAACTCTTAGCTGTGGGCTCTTCTCTGGACCACAAGTGGCCCTGCATCTGCTGATAATCCATCAGCCAGAGATCCGGCTCTCTCATCTGTAAGAGGCGACTGCAAAGATGCTTTTGCTGGGTTCTGTGAAGGGACTAAGCCTTCCAATTTTGTATCTGCACCTGTGGTGTGGTTTTGTTGTTGATTTTGTGCCAGTCCTAGGGCTTGACCTCAGGGCCTGGGCACTGTCCCCAAGCTGCTTTTGCTCTACCACGTAAGCCACAGCACCTCTTCCAGCCTTTTCTTTTTTATATGGTGCTGAGGAATCGAACCCAGGGCATCATGCATGCTAGGCAAGCACTCTACCACTGAGCCACATTCCCCGCCCTACCTGTACCCTTTGATCTGAGCTATTTATTCTGAGCTGCATCAGCACCCCCTGCTTTCTGGGGGGGGTGGGATGGGGCTTGAACTCCCTGAGCTCTTTTGCTCTAGACTAGCGCTCTACCACTTGAACCACCGCGCCACTTCCAGTTTTCTGGTGGTTCACTGGAGATAAGAATCTCACAGACTTTCCTGCCTAGGCTGCCTTTGAACCATGATCCTCAGATCTCAGCCTCCTGAGTAGCTAGGGTTACTGGCACCTGCTTCTTCTTTTATCTTCTTAAAGAGGCAGTCCAAGACTCAGGAGACCACCTCATCCCTGTTCTGTTCCTTTGAAAGCAGTAACGCTTTGGGAGTCGCTCTGGAGACACACACCGAGCTAATGGTCAATCAGCGCACCAGCCTGTGATTTGGGACAATCTTAACCCTGCATCCATCCCTTCCTTGCCTTCCTGTCCCCGATTCCCTTATTTAACCTGCAGCCCGTGTCTGCAGATGGCTGAAGAGGTACAGGAAGTGCTGTCCTTCAATGGCTGCCATGGAACAAATCTCCTGTCTCTGCCTTTACCAAGTCTCTTAATCTGGCATATGGGGGGTAGGTGGCTGGGCCTAACTTTAGACTCCTGGACTTTCGACCTGGGGTGTAGACAGCCAGCTTCTTGTCCACTCCCGCTCACTCCAGCCACAGGGGAGGTGCAGGTACCCGCTCTTCTTCTACATCACAATTCCCTGGATCTTAAAACAAGTCGGTTGGTGACCTTCAGCCCTTGGCAGAGAAAAGCCACTATGTCCGCCCAGGGGACATTCCCTAGCAGCTAGGAAAGAGGGGAGAGGCAGGCTAATCGCCCCTGGCCAGGAGGCCATCTGCCTGCCACATGGCTCCTGGGTGTGGGCCCAGAGGCCTGCAGGCGGATCCTCACCTCAGCGACCGGCCAAGGCGACCGGTCACCCCAGCCCCCTGCACGCCTCACCCCGCTTCTCTCGGGGAGGGCTGGGCCTCTCTCCTTCCAAGCCTGAGATCCTGGCCTGAGAGTTTGGGACTCCAGGAGAGACTGAGTCCCCCCAGCCTTGGGATGTGATTGTTGCTGAGTGACCCCACCAAGTGATGTTGGAACACCAGAGTAGGGGTGGACCCCTGAACCCCAATCTTGTTACCTTCCAGCAGCCAAGTGGACAAGTTCTAGTCTAAGCCTCGCCACTTCTGAACGCGGGCAAGTGATCTTTCCTCTTCTCGAAATTCAAATTCCCTCATCTGTCCACTCGGGAGCTGGGAAAGCTGTCATCAATTCCCACGAGAAGCCATGACTCACTGAACGCCACCACCGCCCCGACGATCAGATACCAGTATCGCCATTTTTTAAGATTAAAACAACCACCACCACCAAACACTAATGAGGTCAAAAGGGTTGATGAAGGCCACGAACGGGTGAAAGCCAAGAATACACAGCTGTGGACTTGAGTCAGACTCTGATTCTCTCTCTCTGCGGGCACATATGCTAAGATTCGTTTCCCCAGTGACCTGGCCTAGATTGGAGCTATAGCCCCGAGGCCTGGCCATCAGTCTAGATAAGGTTCCCAGAATTCCCGCCGTGTGAGGCCAAGTTTGGAGCAGAAAGCAGCCGTGATATTTGGGCCAAGGGCTGCTGCGAATGGTTTATTCCATTCCTGCTTCTCCTTGATTTCTCAGCTTGCAAATAAGAAAGCTGAGAGCCTCCTGGGTCTGGGTGTGGACTTTATAAGAGTCCAGTAGCAGAAGATTCAAGAAAATAATAAGAGCCAGGTGCCAGTGGCTCATGCCTGTCATCCTAGCCACTTAGGAGGCTGAGAACTGAGGATCACAGTTTGAAGGAAGGAAATGTCTGTGAGACTCTGAAGCTCTTATTAACCACCAAAAAGCCAGAAGTGGAACTGTGGTTCAGGTGGTACAGCACCAGCCTTGAGAGAAAAAGCTAAAGGACAGCACCCAAGCCCGGAGTTTAAGACCCAGTACTGGCATTTGAAGAAAGGTAACAGTGAGCTATCCCATGGTCCAGCTTCAACCAGCCAGACCCTGGCGGGAGGAGGGATGGGTGGAACGTTTCTTCCACTTTTTTGTTTCTAAGACAGCCTTGACACTTCTCAGCCCTGTGCGCCAGCGGAGAGCACAAAGCGCGATTGGAGGACCAGCGATGAGGTCACTGCATTCCACGGGTTCTCTGGCTGGGGGGGGTCACCTTGGGGGTGGGGGGACAGGCTTTCATACCAGGAAGTATGAGCTCATCGAAAACTTGGGGACAGAGAGCGTTCTTGAGCTGTAGCTCTGAGAGTAGAAGAGCCAAGCTCGGGGGAGCTTGTTCCTGGCCCTCGGGTGGCCAAGAACTGAGGCAGGAAGAAAAGAGAAGGTATGGGCGACTGCTAGATGTAGCCCACTTTGCCTGCTACCATTTGGGCAGGTCCTGGTAAAGGTGACGGACCTTCATTCACATGCAGCTCGAAGAGCCCTTCAACTGCCTAGTAACCGCACACTCTACCTCCTAGATCCACCCGGAGCTGTCCGCGACTAAGAATGGCTGTAACAATCTGGTTAAGACATTCTGTATTCAAACTGGGGCCGATGCTCTCGCCTAGCCCTACTCAATCAGGAGATGGAGCGCTGAGGGTCAGGGTTCCAACCCAACCCAGGCACGAGACTCCATGAGCCTCTCTTCTCCAACGAACCACCCAAGAAGCCAGAAGTAGAGCTGCGGCTCAAGAGGCAGAGCACCAGCCTTGAAAGCAAAAGCTACAGAACAGCACCCAAGTGTCTTTGGTCAGGGGAAACAAGCTCTTCAGAGAAGGGACTATCACCACCACACATCTCCATAGGCCCTAGGAACAGGGCCTGGCTGGAGCCACAGCTGGATAGATAAGTGCTGAGCTGAACTTACCTCCGATTTCAGCGTGGTGGTTTGAGGGGTGCCACTCGGAGTATAGTGGGTTTCTGTGTAGGCTGGAGCAAAAAGATACCTGTGCAAAGAATAAACACAAGCAGACATTAATATCTGTGATAGACTCCAGCCTCTTGGGACCGCCGCCAGTGATGTTTTAATTAATCCATGTATTGATCTCAGGACCTGGGCGCTGTCCCTTTGGTCTTTTCTACTCCAGGTTGGAGCTCTACCCCTGGAGCCTCAGTCTCCCTTCCGGCCGTCTGGCAGTTCATTGGAGACACTGACTTCCAGGCCCAGGCTGAACGGCGATCCTCAGCTCTCTGCCTCCAGATTAGCTAGGATAATAGGCATGAGCCACCAGCACCTGGCTGTTGATTTGGTGTTTGGTTGGTTTTTGCCCTCCAACACTATAGGTGAAGATCTTTAGCATCAGTCCATCCATTTCCCAAGAGAGTTACTTCCCTCCCATTGCATGTTTGGGTGGGATTGTCAATTGAGGGGTCCCAAAGACCCCTGGCCGGCAGCTGGTCTATGCTTCCAGCAAACCCAATAAACTGATTTTTCCAGGTCACCAGGGAGCCTGGGGCTGCCTTCACCCCACTTTCCAAGACTACTGGGTCACGTTTCCAGACTAAGTCATTCTGCCCATTATCTTTCTCCTTTAAACCCGCACATTGGTTTCTCCTTTATTATCGACCTTCAGAAACTGATACTAAGACTCCCCCACCATGCCAGGCGCCAGTGGCTCACGCCTATCATCCTAGCTTCCCAGAAGGCTGAGATGTGAGGATCGAGGTTCAAAGCCAGAAAAGTCCCTGTGAGACTCTTATCTCCAATTAACCACTCAAAAAAAAACTGGAAGCGGCCCTGTGGTTCAAGTGGTAGAGAGCTACCCTCGAGCACAAGGGACAGCGCCCAGGCCCTGAGTTCAAGTCCCACAACCAACAACAACAATAAAAAAGAATCTCCCACCAAAAGTCAGGTGACACGAGACAGAATTTCTTTAAAAAGTTACAAGAAGAAGCTGGGAAGGTGGCTCAGTGGTAGAGTGCTCACCTCGCATGCATGAAGCCCTGGGTTCGATTCTTCAGTACCGCATACACAGAAAAAGCTGGAAAGCAGGGGGGGGCCGTGGCTCAAGTGGTAGAGTGCTAGCCTTGAGCAAAAGAAGCTCAGGGACAGTGCCCAGGTCTTGAGTTCAAGCCCCAGGACTGGCCCAAAAAAAAGTTACAAGACAAATGAAAAGTCAAATGGATGCTCAGCGAGTGGAACTGATCTCCTGCCAGTCAAGGTCAGCGTAGGGTGTCAATCATGCCTTGTCATCCTGGCTCCTTAGGAGTCTGAGAAAAGGAAGGTCTGAATTTTGAGGCCAGTCCAGACAGACATGTTCTCAACCCACAGCTGGGCAGATGGCCAAGCACTGGCATCTCTAGCCACCTTGGGGCCGGAGACTTGGGAGAATCATGGTGCCAGGTTGGTGGAGGCAGAAGAGTTCTGGAGACAAGCACACATGTATCGCATAGCTGGTGCAGAGTGGAGCCGGGTAAACATAAGCGATTTTCGTCACTGGCTCTGTGCTTTCCAGGCAGGTGCTCTACTGCTGAACCATGCCTCCAGACCTGTTTTGTGCTGGCTGTTTTTGACATCGGGCCTCACTTCCCACCCAGGCACACTCGTGGGCCATAGTCCACGTACTTGAGGCTTTCCACCATAGCTACGATGACAGGCATTCATTTTGCCACTGTACCCAGCTCTCGGTCAAGAGGTGGTCTCGTAAACTTTTCTGCCTGAGCTGGCCTCAATTATTGATCCTCCCAATCTTGGCCTCCCAAGGAGTGAGGATGACAGGTGTGAGCCACCAGCACCTGGCTTTACCATTGCTTTTTAGAAGGCTTAGGGTGGAAGAATCCAGACACGCAGATGTCTTTCTAACTCTCTCCAGCCATTAATTCTTGAGCGAGACGATGAAAAGCAATTAGCTCATTCCCGCAGCCTGTTTCCTGGGTTGCTTTTGCAGACAGCATAATGGATAGCTGGCCTGGGTTCCGAGTTTAATGGTCCATCCTGGATGCCAATGGGAAGGCGTGGATTTTTCCCACAGGAAATGCACTTGTGCTAAGTACATTCTCACCCTCTTCTGAGTCCTAGCAGAGGCTAAATAAATCATTTATCCAGACTTTTGCTTCCTTTTCCACCAAAAAAAAAAATGGGGGAAATGTATCTCCTTGATAAACTGTCTTAAGAATCAAATGTCCCAGCACCTCGCAATGGCCCAGGGCTATAATCCCAGCTACTTTGGAGGCAGAGATAGAAGGATCAAAGTTGGAGGCCAGCTCAGGTAAGAAAAGAAAAAAAAAATTTTTTTTTTACAAGACGCTATTATAAAAAAACAAAGCAGCCATGAAGGGATATGCTGAAGACTCCCAGCTATGAGAAATGCATAGGCTTCGGGAGAGTCAGCCTGAGGCTAACCTAGGCAAAAAAACCTCAAGACTATCTGAACAATAACTAAAGCAAAAAGGCATTGCTGAAGAGGTACACCATCTTCTAAGCAAGTATGAGGCACTAGGTTCAAACCCAGCACCTCCACACCCAGCAAAGAATCAAATGGCATAGTAATGATACATGTCTAAACGCATAAAAAATGGCATACGAACACAGTCTGATGCTACATCCAAAGACCTCATTGTGTGTGGTTCTCAGCCAGACATCCAGACAGAAGCTAAGCGTCTTTCCATGGTTTCTTATTCTAAGGCTCTGCCTCCAGCCTCCATGGATGGATGATGAATATATGGTGGAGAGATGATGGAGAGATGGAGGTTGGTGGATGGGTGAGTAGATGGATGGATGGAATTTCTACCTTGTGTAAGAGTCGGACTGGTGGCCACTCAACAATGGAAAACTTCCAGGGGTAGCACGTTACTGACTACCCCAACCAGTTCTATCCACACTGAATTAAGAATTATCTCTGTCAGGAGCACCCACCACTGATCACTGTGCATTCCATCTTCTGTATCTCCAGGGAGCAGTGTGCTTTGTCTGCCTATAACCGCCTTTCTAATCAACATCTAGTTTAGAAATGCACACGTTGGGTTCCACCCCAAGTGAGACTCACTGAATCAGATAGAAACCCCAGGGCCTGGGCCCCACCAACTATTTTCTCTACTTCCCTTGTGATTCTGATACAGACTGAGAACAGCTGCCCTAGACTGCAGCCCACCTCACCCACCTGCCTTGACTACTCCCAGGTCCCACCCAAGCCTGCCACCCACATGTTCTCAGTGCTGGGATCTCTGGTCCTGGCACACGTGTGAGATGCTCGGCCCCTCCCGTTTCATAGTGGAGTCCTGGGAGGTGCTGGGTGGATCCTAGCACAGGGTCCAAACTGAATTCCCATGCCATGTCTATCAGCTATATTCTTAAAGCAAAGCCAGGTACCAGTGGCTCACGCCTCTCATCCTAGCTATTCAGGAGGATGAGATCTGAGGATTGAAGTTTGAAGCCAGCTGGGGGCAGGAAAGTCCATGAGACTCTTATCTCCAATTGAAGCTGTGGCTCAAGTGGTAGAGGTGCTAGCCTTGAGCACAAAAGCTCAAGGACTGTGCCCAGGCCCTGAGTTCGAGCTCCAGTACAGGCAAAAAGAAAAGCAATCTCTGTTATGTTCAGGAGAGGAGAGCAGAGACGAGAGGAAGAGAGCAGCCACAACACCCTGGGGCAGCACCTGGCCCTGTACAGCTAACTCTCGGTGAAACACAGGTGACTCAGACTCACTCAGTGTCCTGAAGTGAAACACGCATGCTCTGAATCCCAACCAGAAAACCCCCCACCCTCAACACACATGCACACCAGACACAAGCCCCAACACCACCACTCTCCTTAGAGGAACAGAACGGACTGCTCCTGGAACTTCACAAGGTCCAGCTGCCAGGCCCACAGCACAGGGACTGACAGGGTCAACAATCCTCTGGCCTGGAGATTTCTGGTGACATAGCTAAGCTGAAACTCCCTCTCGGGAGGAACAAGGGGATGATGAAAAGAAACCCACAAAACTCAAGCTGCCCTCAAGCTGCCGTTCAGCCCCATCAGATAAGCCAGTTGGTTACAACAACAACAATAAACAACAGTGTTGATAAGTTCAAGTACCTTAAAAAACAACCCCCACCCACAGCAAACCCTGCTCCTCCCACAGGCTACCCTCTCCCACTTTCCTCCCCCCCCACCTTCCCCTCCTTCCCTTTGTCTGTTTCTGCCTGATTCTGCCAAGAACCAACAGGTGTGCTACAGCTGTTTGGGCCCTGGGGAGGCACAGACTGGAGGCTCCAGCTTAGTTGCCCTGGGGGAGTTCTCTGGGACCTAGGGCCCTCCGGTTCCCTGCTCATTCTCAGAAGGCCACCATCATGGGACTCAGGAGGCCCACAATGCCAGGAAGGCTTGTGGAAAAATAAACTGATAAAACCCTGGGTGCCATGCGGGTCCTCTGGGGAATTCGACCTCCATCTTTGATAACTGTTCCCCAGATGCTCCTCCCATTATAACCTTAACCTTTATAGCTTTCTTCCCGATGGTGGCCACGCCCCCAGCCTGGTCGGACATGCTGATATTAGTATTAACACTAGTGGGGATTGATTCTGTGCAAGTTATTCAAGTCCTTATTCAGACTATTCAATTATCCCTTCCTTTGCTTCCTTTCCCTCTTTTATTCCTGGTCCTGGAGATCAAACCCAGGACCTTGAACACATTGGGCATAAGCTCTGTCATGGAGCCACATTCCCAGCATCTCGGTTTTCCTTTTCAGAGGATGAGGAAGGTAGGCCCTGGTAAGCTCTGCGCATCAAGCCTAATGTGTCACCTGACTCTGAGGCCCAACCACAGCCAAGGGGGGGAGGGGGCTTTGGCAGCAATGGGGGGGGTCTGTGCTTTTGTATTATTTACTCAAGAATGTCTGCACAAGCAATGCTTACTCTTGGGGCTGGCAGGGTCTTTACTTAATCCTCTACCACCTCCCTCTTGGCTCTCTCTATCAAGATGACTCATGGTCCCAGACAGGGACTCTGGGAACCCTCAAAATGCCCCCCC